CACATATTTTTAAATAACTTTGGAATAACTTGCCAAAACCAGTCTTCATGCTGGAAAATGTTAGCTATTTTTGATTCATTCAGATTTGTGCTGCAGTTTCACCCCCAAACCTTTGTGGTAAAATAGACTCCTTAAACAAAACTTGAAGATGAATCTTGTCAGGATGGCAACAACTGAACAAGCTGTATTATTTATATATTGAGTTCAATACAATTTATTTCTCTCCCTTGAGCCCAAGAGAGGGTTTGGTCTTCTTGCTCCAAAAATACAGACTTTCATAGCAATGCATAAATCGTTAGTCCATTGCTTGCCTGTCTTCATAATTTTTTCCAGACAGAGCCTGCTTGAAGTCTTCACACTCCCATGTTCTCAGGCAACAAAATAACAGCAAACACCCCCATCCTCACATTTCTCTCTCTCTCTCTCTCTCTCTCTCTCTCTCTCTCTCTCTCTCTCACACACACACACACACACACACACACACACACTTTTTAAAGGCATTTAAAAATTAAAAAGGCAATACAATTTATGCTTTGTAAAATACATTTTCTTTGTAAAATACAGTACAAAACTAACAGGAAACACTTCAAGCACATTTGTTTCCTTCACATCTTCCTACTTACACACACTTCCAAGTGTTGGAAATGTTGAGAACATTCTCCTAATAATGATGAGTATTTGTAATAAGTTATCTACTTTTTGTTCCAATCATTAGACATTCTAGGAATATTCAAGTGTAATCTATGGAGCAGAGGTGGGTACGTTGTGACCCTCAAGACATTGCTGGACTCCAACTCCCATCATTCCTGACCAATGGCCATGCTGGCTGAAGCTGATGGGAGTTGGTGTCCAGTGACATATTTAGGGTTTATGTGCCCAAGCCTCCTATAGAGGAACCCTGTATTATTAAAATTGCACAGAAGACAAAAAACAAAAAAACTGATACATTTCTGTGCAATCCAAACTCATGATCTACCTATATTGAATGCCCTGATATTCTTTTACCATATAGCTGTGAGTTTGCATTTCTTAGTACAGAAAGTATTGATCTGATATGTAGAGATCTTTCTTATTCTAATTAATTCAAGATGGTTTCTGGAAGCTTCTCTGTGTGAAAGAAACAAGCAGAAGGTTCATGATGTTTGGATTATTCCTTCAGAGAAGCTGAACCTGGGTTTCGCTTTCCTTTCTGTCTTTCTTTCCTTTTGGTGTGGTGTTCTGTACATAGTATGCTTAGTGTTAAGGTTTAGACTTATTATAATTTATTATAAGTTTAAGTTAAGTCTGCTGCAACTAGAGTTCTTATGGACAGTGCCAGTCCTGAATGTATTGGATTTGTGACCATTGTGCTACTTTGCCTTCAATAGCAGTAAAGCTCTGCTGGATGAAATACAATTGCCTCTTGTCTATTTACTGGGAATCCTGCAATTCTACAAGTTTTTACTCTGCTAACTATACATTGGACTTCTGCTCTGGGTGATATTGAGTAGAATTTCATGACAATAGCCAGTCATATTTTACTATTTAACAGCACCACAAAGCCAAATTAGGCAACACTAATCTAAATAACCAATCACACAACTTCCCTGTAAGATATGGCTACATAAGATATGGCAATTAGAATAAGATCTGTTATTTGATTATTGATGTAAATCCCCAAAATGTATTTTTTATTGTTAAGTTTTTACCTCTATCTTCAGTACATTTTATTTTAATGCTTTGGCTAGTGGCTGATGCAAATAAAGATTCTTCTGATTCTACATGAACATGTTGCAGTGCCAGTTAATAACTGGCATTCTGTCAACGTGGAAAAGAGCAAATTTATTCACGGCTGATAAGAATCCAGGGCAGGCCTGACAGGATTTCAGAGCCCATCAAGCAAAAGCAGAATCATCAAGAAAGGCAGGAGTCAAAGAGTGACAATCCAGCTAACAGTTGCAGTCAGTGCCGGATTTACGTATAAGCTAAACAAGCTATAGCTTAGGGTCCCACTCTCTTGGGGCCCTCAAAAAATGTAAAGAAAAAAAAACTGGATGTACATTTCCAAAATATAAGATAAAAAACAAATAAAATAAAACCTACATAGAGGAAAAGTGTTTTGTGTTGTGTATCGACCTATTAGGTCCATAAATTACCATATAGCATGTATTCAACACACAAAAAACAGCAACAATTTGTTGTTGATAAAGGACAGCTAGACATATAAAGGGCCCCATTACCTTCAGTAGCTTAGGGCCTCATCAAACCAAAATCTGGCCCTGGTTGCAGTAAGCTGATCAAAAGTAGATGAGAGAAATTAACAGTAATGCAACAATCATGTCTACCAAAGGAAGAGATTGTTCAGATAAAATGCTATCACAATCATGTCAGCAAAACCAGGGATTTTTCAGTATCTAGTGTTGTTGGGCAAATGTTAACTCAGGGGTAGGAAACCTCTGTCCCATGGGTCAGTCTTGCCCCTCCCGGGAGTCCAAGATGACTCATGAGGCCATATTCTGCAAACCACACCCACCTGTCCATCATCTGATGTAATTGGGTGACATCACCTGATGGGTGGAACAGTGGGGTTCAATCCTGTTGGGGGTCTGCTTTGTCAGCATATTGTCTGAAGATTCAAAGGGCAGCACGAGCTGTTTGAAATCCCTGCTTTAAACAGCCCCATGCTACTTCCGAACCTCCAAAAACTGATAATTTATAGGACTTCCAAACTTCCCTGCATTGTACTTTGAAGTCCTGGCAGCTGAAGCTCCAAAGCTGACTTTTTAATAAAGTTCTTGATGCTAACTTTTTAATAAGGTCCTTGGGAGGCAATGGAAGGAGCTGCTCCTAAGGGCCCTGGATGTCCTTGAATAGGCAACTTCTTCTCCCCACTTTTGGCTCTCCTAGGGCCAGAAGCCATATAGCCATGGAGATGGATGAGGGAGCCTAGTGGTGCCTCAAGGACTGCTAGAAAATTAGGGAGGGCAATTGGGAACTGGTAAGAGGCAGCTTTCTCTCAATTCTACAGCCCTTTTCTTATCCTTCCTTGTTCTTCTGCAGCTCTTCTTACCCCTTCTTCTCCTTCTCACTTGTTGTTGTTGTTTAGTCGTTTAGTCGTGTCTGACTCTTCGTGACCCCATGGACCAGAGCACGCCAGGCACTCCTGTATTCCCCTGGCTCCCCCAGTTTGGTCAAACTCATGCTGGTAGCTTCAAGAACACTATCCAACCATCTCATCCTCTGTCGTCCCCTTCTCCCTCCTTCTCACTAGTCACAACTAAAGAGGAAGGAAAGTAGGTTGGGCCACTGGCGGAGGAATGAGGTAAACTGATTATTATTTTTTTGCTCCATTCTTTCTGCCACTTTAGCCCTTCAAGGAACAGGCACATTCCCTTCTGGACAAGGACTTTCTGGACAAGCACCCACAACACTTTCACCCATACAGTATATGAGCATTGGCACCTCGTTTTTAAACAAAAGAAAGCATAGATATTGGGGGGGGGGGAGAATACTTGCATAAATGTGAAAAGTGGGAGAAATACATAGAAAAATGTGTACAAATTTTCATGTGAACTTTTGTTAAGGAGAGTTCACATACTGGTTTGGAAATTGGGGGAATGAATTTAATACTGGTGAAATAAGCATCAGAGAAAGAAAAATCAACAGATCTATCCATTTCTAGGTTACCCAGAGCATAAGCATACAAGAGTGAAGATCTGATCAGGAAGGAAACTAGGGATCATTTTCTTCCCTTATAATGAGGAGCCCATTGGCTGTTGTTTGGTCGTATTGATGCAGGGTGTCTAAGAGCTGAACTGTCCTTGTTTCAAATGCTAGATTTGCTAAGTTATGCCATAGAGATCCTTGTGCTGTAGTTCCTGTTGACTGAAATCACACACTTGTTTTGGGCTGAAATCACTGCTAAGAAGGTTTGTCCATTTCTGTGGACAGGAATCACACATGGGTGCTGGAATTACACAAGAGTGATCCTGACCTGCTGTATTTATGAGCTAAAGCTGCAGAGACCAAATGGATCAACATGAGCCTTTTTCCTGCTCCCTGCTGCTTGGAGTACCACAACACAGCCAATTTTGGGGGGAATTGATCAGAGCTTCCTGCTGGCACTTGCTAGAATGGTATAACTTGCAACACTCTCAACTTTTGCACCTGGGTGGAGCACACAAAAGAATAATCAACCGCACCACTGGAGTACCTGTGAGAAAGGCCAAGGAACACACTCTTTCATTACCACATCTAGACCTTGAGAGGAAGTGGGGACGTTTGAAGTGGGTGGCAACTTTATGGTTTTGTCTATGTTAATTTATGGTTTTGTCTGTGTTACTAGTGTCTTGCTGCCATCACTTCCTGATTTATATAAATAGTGTTGTTTGGCAATACACAAACATGATCAGGTTTAAGAATTAAGGGCACTTATGAAGGAGCTTTGAGGAAGGTGAGGGCTCATTTGCAGAGAGGAGAATAAATTTTACCAACAGCCAGGAAAGAGCATATAGTTTATGAATTCCACATTAGTTAACCTTTGCTCTTCCTGATGTTTCTGAACTACAGCTCCTGTCATTCACTGACAACATGGCTGATGGAAGTTGTAGACTAACAACATATGGAGGATCACAGGTTACCTAACCCTGATCTAATGATCCAAACTCTCTCCATTTTTAAAATATGTTCTGGAGTTATAAGAAGCATAAGATTTTGGAAGTTCTAAAACAGATTGTACAGGTCTCCTTATCTGCCAGCTCACCCCTTCCTTTTCCATAAATGACATCCCACAGAGATGTGCTAGAACATCTACACTTCTCTGTGCAAAATTGAGTTGATCCAGACATAACTTAGAAGATTTTTTCTTGGCCAGTCTACTAACTTAGAAGATTTTTTCTTGGCCGGTCTACTAACTGGCTGCATATAGAGGAACGCATACAAGTGAGGGGGAGGGAATTCTGTGATTGTTTTCTATTTAATGTCTTCATCAGTGTTCCACTTCAAGGCTATAATCTGCAAGGATGGAAAATGGGACTCATACAGTAGTGGTCGAGTTTGTTCTCCAGGGAATATCAGAGGTCTGGTTGGTGCAGCTGTTTTTCTGTACCCTACTCCTGCTCTTCTATGCCATCATCCTACCTGGAAATGTCCTCATCATTATGACAATTAGGCATGACCCCCATTTGGGATCCCCCATGTTTTTCTTCTTGGCCAACCTGGCCTTCATGGACATCTGCTACAGCTGTGTCACAACTCCGAAGATCATAGCCAACTTCTTGGCTGGCTGCAGAACCATCTCCTACAGAGACTGCATGGCTCAGCTTTTCTTCATTCATTTCCTCGGTGGGGCAGAGATCATTCTCCTTATTTCCATGGCTGTGGATCGCTATGTGGCCATCTGCCACCCAATGCACTATGTCACTGTGGTGACCAGGGTGGTTTGCTGGGCTATGCTGGTGTGTGCATGGGCTGCAGGTTTCATACACTCCATGATCCAGGTCATTCTCATTGCCCCACTGCCTTTTTGTGGCCCCAATGAGTTGGACAACTTCTTTTGTGACACAACCCAGATCATCAAGCTGGCTTGCACCAACACTAATACATTAGAGTTTGTCATGTTTGTTAACAGTGGTCTGGTCACTACTGGATGTTTCATCTTCCTCCTCATCTCTTATGTGGCCCTCCTTGTCAAGGTGAGGAAGGGCTCAAGCCAAGGGAAGAACAAAGCCTCCTCTACATGCATGACCCACATCATCATTATCTTCATTATGTTTGGCCCAGCTATCTATATCTATTGCCGTCCTTTCCAGGTCCACCCGTTTGACAAGGTGGTGGCCTTTTTCCACACAGTGATCTTCCCTGTGATGAACCCCATGATCTACACACTGAGGAACAGGGAGATCAAAGTTGCTATGTGGAAACTGCTGAAAAAAATACAAAATTTCCAGACAAGTGAAAGATAACTATGGCATAGCATTGCTATACTTGCTTTTATTCTTATGCTTCCTTGCACTTAATCATTATTCATTAGATTTCTTACACACCCTTTGCTTAGTGAATTCCAAAGACGACAGTAGATTAACAGTACATGTTTTGAAGAGCAAAGAAAAGGACTCTAGAACAACTCTTATTTTAAATACCTCAGCTATATGTAGGCTGTAGAAGCTGTGACACATTGCTCAGGGGGACAGGAGAAGAGAAGAGGAAAGCAAGTCTTCAAGCACCAGTTAAGTCTATGTCTCATGCAGAAATTATAGCCAAAGACATTTTTGCAAATTTAAAAAATCCATTCGGACAGAAACTTTACCCCTAAAAAAGAGCACATGGCCTGGAAAAAGAGGAGACATAGCAACCCTAACCGAGAAGATAGATTCAGACAATACATTTAAAGCACATTCAGCACACATCTACAGCACATGACTTCCTCCAAAGAATCCCAAGAACTGTAGTTTGTTATGGATGATAGGAACTGTAGATCTGTGAGGTGGAACTAGAGCTCCCAGGAAGCTACAGTATGTACTTTAAACCTGAAGAAATGTGAGCTTTGCATTCAAGTTTAATTCTAGTTTTTACATCATCATCATCAGGCTGGGAGAACCGCCACGTTTGCAAAAGTACAACTATAAAATGCAAAATAGCCTTAGGGGAAGGCAGCCCCCCCCCAAAAAAAACCCCGCTGAATAAGTACTGAGCATGTTCACCAGCCAAGGGATTCTAAATTCCTTTTTGAGTGGAAAGGGGAAGGAATTGAATATCCTGAAATAAGGCATGGCTAGTTGAAACAGTGCACAAATGGTTGTGAATTTTTCTCCATGGACACGCTCTTCTGCCTTATTCCTTGGATAAATGGTTGTTGGACTAGGGCCCAGATCAAGGCCTACTGCTTCACCATTTCCATTCCCATCCCAGAGGTCACCTGCACTCTCGCTCTCTCTGATGCACAATGCAAACTTTTTAATGAGCTCCCTTAAGACTGATAGCTGGGGTGTCTCTGCCTTGAGTCTCTGGAGCTCTTACTATGGCAGCTTCCAGTGTCTTGCGTGCCAAGGCCTTTAGATGAGCAGGGAAGTATTTTGTTCTTCCCAAAGAGGAAAAGAATGTGACCCTTTTCACTGCCCTTTACCCCAGAGGAAGAATAAGGAATTCGTTCTTTTTTCTTTCCTTCCTCACAGTGTTCAGATGTTAGTTATTATTTTCTCAGGTTTCAGGGCTAGATCTTCAACAATCAAAAGCATTTTGTCCTCACTCACACATCCCTGATCACACATACATTATGTGTTAACTCATGTGTAAGCCCATGCTGCCACAGAAGTGTGATATGAGCAAGATCTTGGGCCCACAGTTTTGCCACAAGGCAGGGGTGTTGCAGTGCACTTCAGCTATGTTAGTCAGAGATAAAACAAAGAAAGCAAGGCAAGCTGTTGATCATTATTGTTCTGTTTGCAAGCAGTCTCCCACTGTCCATGCAAGGAGATGGACAAGAAGCTCAGAACAAAAACATGTTACAATTTTTTAACCCTCAGATAGTACCCACCCTTGTAAGAGAAAAGCTACCCCCCAAATGGCAGCTTTAAATGGCACAAAAAGGGTGTACCTGTAAATCAGGTCATGCTCAGAGTTCATGTTTCTCCAGCATATTTACGAGTCTGTTAATTAAGATGCCTGCAATACCTGCTATTTGCCTTTTCCAAACCAGTTTGAGATACCCTTTGAAATAGTGAATACATTGACTCCAGAATCCATTATCAAGAACCTGTTGCATTCATACAGAGATAGCTGCTCTTTGGGCAAGTCTGTGGGGATAGTTATCAATACTTGTTAATCCAGAGGGGAAGCTCGGGAAGGATTTCCTGCTATGTGGCTGGAGGAGTCTCGATGCTCACTAGGGGTTAAACATGGCTGTCGTATTGCTCTGTTTTCAGCTCAGGTTTTACTGGTAAAAGTGATATTTCATTAATTTTTCCATAACAGTTACAAGCTGGTCACTGAGGATATGTGCACCATATATTTTTTAAAGTACATTTAAAGCACATTTCTCCCCTCAATGAATAATGGGCCCTGTAGAACAGGGAATAAGTTGTGATTTGAGGACAGCCCCCCCCCCCCCGCTTGGGGATAAGAAAGACACAAGGACACAGTATATTAGGTTAATGGGCTAAAAAAGGCCACAACTTTATTGATTACAGAATGTGAGAGGTATTGGCTTAGGCATTGGATAAACAGCAGAGCTTGACTCCACCCCCTCAGGGTTGGGTGAGTCTAACAAGGGTTAACCACCAGTAGGGGGAGCCTGTTGATGCAAATACAACTGTAAGCTCTCCCCTGATGTCACCGGGGGTTGTGCCATGGCCCCCAGCCACCAGCAGGGCATCAGACAGGATCCATGACCGCCGGATTCCTTTAACTGAATACCCATAAAGTGAAGGGGTAGGCGATGGCCACACCCTGCCCTTCCATACACCAACAACATATTCCAATGCCTAACCGCCAATACCAGAAAGTTGCGATGATTTGCTACGAGGTAGGCGAAAAACCAAGTGGCCGGTGCCAATTTGCCAATTGGGTAAAAACTCCTACCAGGCCCCTTGGGCAACCAAGGCGGCCAACCAGAGGTCCATAGTAAGGTCAAGCACGAAGCGATGAACTAAAGGGAAGGGTGGGTGGGTGACCCGTTGAAACCTGGCAGCGCAATGAGGGGAAAGAGCTGCTGTGGCTGCATTTGAGCGGCTAAACCCCGCCCCCGAGCTTCCCTCCGATTGGAAGACTGACCGGGAAGCATGGCGAAGCAGCAATGACAGCAAGCAGGGGCCGGAACGCCCCCTGCGAAGTGCGGGAACGGCTCCAGATCACAACCCCTCCCCTCCGGGAGGAGGAGAGGCTTTACTGAGAGCTATAACTGTGAGGAGTAACAGTGCCCCAAATTATTTGTGGGAAACAATGTGCTTTGAATGTACTTTAAAGGTATAGTGTGTATGTAGCCAGAGTCCCCATTAAGGATAAAAATAAATTGGCATATTATTACAAAGCATCAAAATGGCATTGGAAAGTCAAATGGCTTATAGATGCCTGGACTGTGTAAAATGTGTGGATCTGGAATTACACCTTTTTATCTCCTTCAAAAATAACCATACTCTTGGGTAAACAAAACTCTGATCTACATAGATCTTCAAGGTAAGATTCTGGAGGCAGAACATGGAATCATTTAAATGTAGTGGTCCAGTATTTGTTGATATAGATTTAATGGAAGGGCAACAATGATTCCCCATTTCCCCACAGACCAAATGGTTTAAGGCTAGGCACATTTTCAGAGCAGTGAACATTTGATCTACCACTCAGAGGTCTGTGTTTTGGGTACATGGGTACATGCATGTTCCTAGTGACATATGTAACAGGGTTTCCAGATTACCTGAACACCTGGGTAATGATATAGCCACAAAATGTCTTGATAATATTAATATCATATACAACCTTCCTTCCTTCTTTGAAGATTAATAGAATTGGAGATCATTCAATTGGTTGAGTGCACACGCACAGTTCGGAGATTACCCTGTATTTGATCCCTTGCCACCTATCCAAGAAACCAAATGAGAAGTCAAACCTACAAGTGATGCACCCCTGAGGACAGCTGTGTATCACATCCCTTAGTGACAAAGTATTGTTTTCTTCTCTAGCACCATTGGAGCAGATAACACACCAACAAATGCAGTCAAGCAGATATATCATACACATAGATATTGTCATCCCCACACCAGTCACAGGCAGAAGAAGGAACTGGATCAAGCAGCTCAATGCTGATGCTGATCAGGACAGAAGAAGTTGCTGTAGCAACCTCAAGGAATTTCTGTTGGATTTTGGAGGTGGGTGAGAAACCACTTGAGGATGTATTGCATTTTTCCAGAAGGCAGGTGCGAAACAATGGGAAGAATGACATCTTGCAAACATCTCCAAGGAGCTCTCCAGCCATTTCCATCAACTAATCTTCTCTTTCCCATTCTCTAACTCCAGCACTCCAAATGCCTTTTGGTGGATAGATTGCTGAGTAGTGTGAGGACTGGTCAGCATTATTATCGTGTAATTGTCCACCCAGAACACTGAAGACTACATACTATACCCAGTTTCTGATATGATGGGCCTCTAAATCCTGGGGAACAGCTGTGGGAGAGGTCTACTGCACTTGTGTTACATGTGAGAAATTAGAACTGTCATTCTACATCAGACAGCAGCTACATACCCATGGCAGTTTTGCTGATGTTTCTCTGTTAATTTCTGCATGTAAATAGAGCTTTCACATGACATAAAAGCCACTTCAAGAACTAAAGAGGAATATAGTGAATATTTAGTGCTCATTTCCATATTAGTTGCAAATGATTTTTTTTTTTCTGGAAAGGAATAACATGGAAACTAGGACTAAATGGCACTATAGTTCTGGAAGTGATATTTGCATCATGTGAATGCAGAAATTAACAGTTCGCGAAATGGGAAAATGGAATAAACTGCAGTGTGATTTCAGCTTGTGACATCAAGCTGAGCACTCTGTCTTCTTATGGTGACTAACCAGATGTTACTTTGGAAAGGAATCACAAAATAGGGGAAGCTAATGCATCTGGCCTGTTAATAATTCAATCAGAGCAACACACAATATTAAGTTAAGTCTTTGCACAACAAAAAAGAAGTGGATACACTTCAGTAATGAAGATAGACAAGGGATCTATCATATCGACCTTTGTGTGTGTGCACAGTCCTGTGATGCAGTCTCAGTCAAACACCCTGCCGGTGGAGCTGATGCTAAATGAAACCACTGTGTAAGGGCACAAGGCAGCTACTTATTTCTTCTCCATGGGCTCTTCTCTGTGGTAAATTCTCCTTGGAATCTCCTTCTGCAGCAGACCTGGAGTACCCAAATGGGTAGTTCTTCAGATATTCCACAAATTTAGATTGTATTTTGGAAAGTGGTCTGCTTCTTAGGAAGATAGATAGTTGGAAAGATTGTGTGTGTGTGTGTGTGTGTGTGTGTGTGTGTGTGTGTGTGTGTTGAAGAAGGACAATATATTTTAGAGGAGCTGCATTGATGGGGAAGGCTCATAGCCCACTAGCAGAGCATCTGCTTTCCATTTAGAAGGTCCCAGGTTCAGTCCAAGTAGGAGTGTGAATTTTATCCTCTAAAACTCTGAAAAACCACTGCCAGTCAGTGTAAACTATACTGAGCTATATGAACTAATAGTCTGACTCAATATAAGGCAGCTTGCTGTTTCCCTAAAAGAGGTGTGTGTGTGCACTACAGCCCTTCAGATATCTGTTGAGCTCCCACTCCCATCAGCCCCAGCTAGCTTGGACAATGGTCACGGGCAAGGAGCTGGACTCTGTAGGGCCACAGGTTCTCAACTCCTGGTGCAGATAATACTGAGTTGGATAGAGGAATGGACTTAGTATATGTCATCTTCCTATGACTAATGTATGAACAATTAGGACTGGGGTCCCAGGACCTAGTCAAGAATACAGTGGTACCACAGATTACAGACACTTCAGGTTACAGACGCTTCAGGTTACAGACTCCGCTAACCCAGAAATAGTACCTCGGGTTAAGAACTTTGCTTCAGGATGAGAACAGAAATTGTGTGGCAGTGGCATGGTGGCAGCAGGAGGCCCCATTAGCTAAAGTGGTACCTCAGGTTAAGAACAGTTTCAGGTTAAGAACGGACCTCCAGAACAAATTAGGTTCTTAACCCGAAGTACCACTGTAATGGTAGCTGACACATAGCTATACCCTTTGCTAAGGCTATAATGGAAGTATCTCATTACCACCTTTTTCTCCCTTTCCAGTTTTTACAGTGATTTGCAAGAAGACAATGGCATGGGGAAACCAGACAATGGTGACTGAGTTTGTCCTGCTGGGCCTCTCTGAAACTTGGGAGGTCCAATTGGTCTTCTTTGTCTTCCTCCTCCTCCTCTATATGGCTACTTTCTTCATCAACATTCTCACCCTCTCAGCTATTTTCAGATGTCGCCATCTTTCAGACTCACCCATGTTCTTTCTCCTGGCTCATTTGGCTTTCCTGGACCTCTGCCTGTCCTCCTTTGCCACTCCAAGATCTCTTTTTGATTTCCTTGCCCAACACCATGTCATTTCCTTCCATGGCTGCATGGCACAAATCTTTTTTCTTCATCTCTTTGGAGGCAGTGAGATGCTCCTGCTGGTAGCCATGGCAATTGACCGGTACGTGGCCATCTCCCATCCTCTCCATTATGCCACACTCATGAATCGGCGGCATTGCATGGGGCTTGTGCTAGCCTGCTGGACTGGTGGGCTCCTCCACACCACTGTGCAATTGGTTTTTACAATTAAGGCACCTTTCTGTGGGCCCAATCTTGTGCACAATTTCTTCTGTGACCTCCCCTTTGTCATCAAGTTGGCTTGCACTGACATCTACCCCCTGGAGGTCATGATGGTCACCAACAGTGGCATTTTGTCACTGGTGTCTTTCATTGCTCTGCTTCTCTCGTATGGATTCATTCTTCATACCATCTGTTCCATGCCCCACTCTAAAAGGACCACAAAGACTGCTTCCACATGTACCTCTCACCTCATTGTGGTCACCATGTACTTTGGGCCCTGTATTGTTATTTACCTGCAGCCATACAGTCAATTCATGGCTGATAAAGTGCTCTGCATCTTCTACACCTGTTTCACCCCCTTGCTGAACCCAACTATCTATGCTTTGAAGAACAAGGAGATGAAGGTTGCTATGGGAAGCCTGCTGGCAAGGCTTTCTGGGAAGGTTTCCACTCAAGGCCAGCCCTATCATTAGTCAGCATGAGATGGCCACCTCGGGCAGCTTGTTTTGGTTGTCACAAAAGAGGCAAAATCAATAGTTATTGAATTTACTGCTCACAGTGTGGAGAACCCAAGTATCTATGCATTAAAAAACAAAGAGATGAAGGCTGTCATTGGCAGTCTGTTGACAAATATTTCTGGACAGGTCTCCACTTAGGGATGAACCTACCACTAGGCAGCAGAAGGCAATTCTTGAAATTGAATTTGGGTGTCATGAAAGAGCAACAAATTTAATTTACTGATCTTCTTGCATTTTTATATGGGGTGGAGAAAGCAGTTAGAGAGAAGTTTTTTCTCCTTAGTGTAGAACTCGGGCTCATACAGTGGAGCTGAAAATGAAGTGCTTCCTTACACAGCACACAGCTGATGGGTGGGGAAGCTAAGTTTTTAAAAGTCTTTTTAAGAAACCTCATTCAACAGTAGCTCCACCCACCCCTAAACTGATTTGTGCCTGAATGTAGACCAGATGTTCTCTGGGTAGCCTCAGGTCAAATGGGGTGCTGTGTGCCACCCTAGGATTTCTTTGATTTTCTACCTCAGCTACCAAAATAACTTGACCAGCCACTGGTACACAAAGAACTATGCAGCTTGGGGACCAGGATACCGGAAAGACCAGCACACCCCTTGTTTACTATGCCAGGGCATCATCTTATCAGGAGGTCCTGAATATTGTTTTTAATCCAATCAGTATTTATTGACGTTTTAATAAATATTCTATTCTCCTTTACATCTACAGGTGTGGCAGTTGATGTGCTAGACCAGTGTCTGGCTTTGGTAATAGACTGGATGAGAGCCAGTAAGCTGAACCTCAATCCAGATAAGACAGAGGTACTGTTAGTAGGTGGTTCCCTAGACAGGATGGATGAGGGACTGCTTCCTTGGGGGGGGGGTTACTCTCCCTGTGAAGGAGCAGAGACATAACTTGGTGGTGCAGGCAATACTCCTTAGCTCACTCCTATTGTTCTGTGTTTACCAAATTGATTTATTGAAAAATCCATTGCACTGGATTACTGTAATCACGTCATCATTATGTACTATAATTTATTTTTTACCTGCACCATAATTTATTTTTTACCTACCCATTTTTTGTCAGTCATGTCATGTTTTGTTATTTATATGTGTACAATTTTGCAACAGAAAAATAAAATAGAAGGGGGAAAGTATAAACAAAAATCTTATTGCTGATCTTGTTGTCTACTGAAAACCCTGTAAACCTTCCACCCCTTCCTGGGTGGGCTACCTTTCCAGGTCTGCCCCTTATTTCCCTCTACAGCAAATTTAGAAATCATCTTCTTGACCCATTGGACCCATTATTGCTCTCATCCGCTCAATCTGCAGATGTCTTCCCATGCAGTGGGTAACAAGTCCCTAGCTTACTAAGAACTTAAGACTTATTGGCTACCCACAACTGATTTAGCCAGCTGGCTTGTCTTGGCTTGACTGAGAGGTGATTTTGACCAGGAAGGCAGTGATCAAACTGAAACAAGAAAGAGACAATGGTGGGATTGGAGGGAGGGGAGGAAAGAGAGGAAGAGGAAAGAGAATGGGTGAGAAGAATTTAACATGTCTTCTTGAGTGATCTTGCCGGTGCAGAAGTGGAAGAGCCAGGAGTCTTTGTGGACATCAAGTGGGAGGCCTCCCATCACCAGCCATGAGGGGGAAGCAGTGCCAGCACGAAGCCAGCCATGACAGCTCATCTCCCTGTGGTTCTGAAAGGGAGCCTTGGCAAGGGAGCCTGTTGTAGGGCCACTGGGATGCACCCCCTCAGAAATCTGGGGTCAGAGAAGCCACCCCGGAGCTCCACACCACACGATGCCTCTGATTGATTGACTTTAGCCCAGATGTCACACCCTTCCATTGTCTCTCAAGACAAGTCAATGTCATCAAGTAAGTGAAACCAGTGGACAACACTCGAGGATATAGAAATTGATGCGGTTCCTATAGGAGCATTAGCATTAATGAAAAAGAAGCTCCTCCCCTAATTAGAGGTGGATATCATTCCATTGGGATAGGTGGTAGAATCACACACATTTGGGACAGGGAAAGAAAATCACACCCCTTTATATCCCCCCTTTTTATCTCTTACCATCTACCCAGAAAACCAGACCTGAAGTCAAACCAATGCACAATGCATCCTTGAGGGCAGCTGCATAAATCTTGCTTTAGTGACAAAAGTATTACTCCCCCCCCCCCGCTCTGTAAGAACAGATAAGGCACCAACTAAAGCAGCCCCCCCGGGGGGGGGGTGAGCAATTAATTACACACACATACCACTGTCTCTTGATTTGCTCTTTAGCCTGCCTTTCAAGCAGAGATCACATCCACATAGATAACTCATCCTCACACCACTCACAGGCAGAAGACGAAACTGAATCAAACAGCTCCATGCTGATGCTGAGCTGAACAGAAGGAGTTGCTCCAGAAAACTTCAAAGAATCTCTGCTGGGATTTGCAGGTGGGTGATATAGACCATTTGAGGGGGTGTTAGATTTGTCCAAGGGCAAGTGCCTTTGGGAAGAATGACACATTGCAGACTCCTTCAAGGAGCTCTTCAGCAGTTTCTGTCACCTAAACTTCTCATTTCCAACTCCAGCACCCCACATGCCTTTTGGTGGTTGAATTACTGATGGAATATGGGGCAATGTGGGAACTGGTCAGCATTGTTACGACATAATCATTCATCTAGAAGACTGGAGAATATATATTACAGTGAGTACAGGGGTGACATGCCTCTGATTCCTGGGGAACAGCAGCGGGAGAGGGCTTATTACATTCATGTCCTTTTTGTGGGTTTCCCATAGGTGCCGTCAGAAGGCAAAGCACTCAGTTATATGGGCACAGCCTGATCAATAATGGTTTGGGCCCGGCATGTTGTTGGAATCCTGAGGTTAGGGAACTGGTGCTCCCTGCAAAGCGAAATATAAGATCTTAAGAAATCAGAGCTACCATTCCAGATCAGACTGTGGCTTGTATATGCATGTTTATTCCACTTTCCCAACAGTTCCCTAAGTGTTATTTTTTACATTACATTTGAGCTTTCACATGATGCAAAATCCACTTCCAAAATTATAGAGAAATATAGCCTAGGTTTAGCACTTATTTCAATACTATTTCCAATGATTTATTTTTCCCCTGGCAGCAAATAACATAGAAATTAGCACTAAAGTTTGTGCCATATTCTAGTGTAGGTCTGAAAGTGCCTTTTGCAATGTATGAAAACTCAAAGATAATGTGAAAATTAACATTTAGAGAAACATTGGAAAAGGTGACCATCTAGATGAGGACTCCATTTTCTGACAGTGCCTAACAAGATGCTCCTTTGTAAGAGAATAACAAAATAAGACATGATAATGCATCTGAACCTGTTAATAATTCTGTCAGTTTGTTTCTGCATCTGAACATGGTGTCATGGATAGAAGTCATTGAGATACCTCTCTCTCTGTGTGTGTGTGTGTGTGTGTGTGTGTGTGAATATAAGTTTTATTTTCTTCTCTTCTAGTCTATTCTATTCTTACTGAATATCACAATCTTCTGAGACAATAACTCCTAGGGTATGACCGGCCTAGCTAGTTCTTCTTACTTCGAGCAGCAGAACACAATAGTTGTAACATCTGTAATGCTGTCTAATAGTGATCTTGGCACCAACAGCGCTGTAGCCCAAACAGGGCTGCTGAGGAATAAGAGAGTATCAGCATCCTCAATGGAACCCCAAGGTTAACAGAAGTGCCACAAATAAAACAGGGAAGCACCAATGAAGCTGAAAGGGGAAACAGATGAAATAACGTACTTCTGGAGGCAATGATGGCCTCCAGTTTGGATGGCTTTAAAAGAGCATTCAATGCATTCATGGAGGACAGGGCTATCAGAGGCTGCAAGTCATGATGGCTATGGTCTGCCTCCATGGTCAGAGTCAATATGCTTCTTCATACTAGTTGCTGGAAGCCACAACAGGGGAAAGTGCTCTTGTGCTCAGGTTCTGCTTACAGGTTTCCTGCAGGAATCTGGTTGGCCACTGTGAGAACAGGGTGATTGTTGTAACTCTACTTACACTTCATGTGCAAGGAACCATGGAATGGGTGAGGAAGAGAAAGACCAGGGCTTCAGCTCACCAGCTCACATTTCCTTAAAAAAGAGGTGGAGGGTGACAGCTAAAATCCTAACATGTAGTCACTGCCACACACCCTGGTGGTGGAGCTGCCACTAAGTAAAGAGCTGTGGAGGGCACCATGCAGCTTATGCTTTCTTCTCCACAGTTTTCTCTGAATGGTAACTTCTTCTTAGAATATCCCCTAATCTCTGCTGCACCAGATCTAAAGAACCCAAAGAGATTGTGCTCCAGGCAGTGCTATTTTTCTAGAAAAAGAGGTGCTGGAATTCACCATGAACTCACTCTTTCTCTTAGAATGGCAATGACACCCATTGTCATTGTTCTGGAACACACCTGAGAGGTGCCAGAACTGAGTTCCAGCGAGTTCCCTCTGTTTACACAGTTTTTTTTGGAAAGTGGTCTGCTTCTTAGGAAGATGGGTAATTAGGGAATTGGGGTGTATGCATGAAACTATGGACACAAGGGCAGTGTATTTTAGATGAGCTGATAAGATGAAGGGTCATAGCTCAGCTGTAGAAAGTTCAAGGTTCAATCTCCAGCATTCTTCCTTTGTCAAAAACCCTGAAGTACTACTGCAAGTTACTACAGACTATACTGAGTTAAATGGACCAATGATCTGACTTGAAATAAGGCAGCTTGCTCTCATCTTAAAAGGTAGGCCTCTCAGGGGGCGGGACTCCAACTCCCATCAGCTCCAGCCAGCATGCTCAGTTTTTGGGATGATGATGTGAGGTGAATAACACCAACATCTGAAGAGCTACTGGTTCCCTATCCCTTGTGAAGACAATAGTGAGCTAGATGAAGTGATGGTCTGACTCATTATAAGTCACCTACATATGTTCCTGGGATAATGCATGAAGCACTAGGCTAGGAATCCCAGGACTCAGTCAAGAATAATGTCAGATGATACAAAGGCACACCCTTTGCTGATTTAACCGAAGACTGCGATGGAAGTATCTCATTATTGTCTCCTTTCTCCCTTCCAAATTTTCACAGTGATACGCAAGTACTGTAAGGAATGTCAACAAACCAGACAATGGTGACTGAGTTCCTCCTGCTGGGCCTCTCTGAAACCTGGGAAGTCCAAATCTTCTTATTTGTTTTATTCCTTCTCCTCTACATGGCTACATTATTCACCAACATCCTCATCCTCTCAGCAATTTTCAAGGATCACCACCTTTCAGACTCACCCATGTTCTTTCTTCTGGGTAACCTGGCTTTCCTGGACCTTTGCATGTCTTCCTTTTCCACCCCAAATCTCTTTGATTTTCTTTCCGAATACCATGCCATTTCCTTCCATGGCTGCATGGCACAAATCTTCTTTCTCCATCTCTTTGCAGGCAGTGAGATGCTCCTGCTGATAGCCATGGCCTATGACCGGTATGTGGCCATCGCCCATCCTCTCCGTTATACCTCACTTATGAGCCGGTGGCATTGCATGGGGCTTGTGCTAGCCTCCTGGGCTGGTGGGCTCCTACATGCCACTGTGCAATTGGGTTTTATCATTAATGCACCTTTCTGTGGGCCTAATCAGGTGGACAGTTTCTTCTGTGACCTCCCCTTGATCATCACGTTGGCCTGCACTGACACCTACCCCCTGGAAGTCATGATGATCACCAACAGTGGCATTATGTCACTGGTGACTTTTGTTGGCTTACTTCTCTCCTACGGATTCATTCTCTACACAATCCGCTCTCGGGGGGCATCTGAAAGGAGCACCAAGGCTGCTTCCACATGTACCTCTCATCTCATTGTGGTCACCATGTACTTTGGGCCCATTATGTTTATTTACCTGCGTCCGTATGCCCGGTTCATGATTGATAAAGTGCTCTCTGTCTTCTACATGTCTGTCACCCCCTTGCTGAACCCAACTATCTATGCTTTGAAGAACAAGGAGATGAAGGCTGCCCTTGGAAATCTGTTGGCAAGGCTTTCTGGGCAGGTTTCCACTCATTGATGGCCCTACTGTTAGGCAGCTTGAGGCAGCCACCTCTAGCAACTGATTTTGATTGTCACAACAGAGCAGTAAATTGTTTTAGTTGTTTATTTTACTGTTCCTGTTGCATTTATACATGATGTGGAGAAAGTGTATAGGGTGCATTTTTTCTCTCCTTCTCCTGTAATTGTAGAACTTGGGCTTATCTGATCAATGAGGAAAGGAAGTGCTTCTTTGCACAGCAACCAATTGAACAATAGATTTTGCCACTACAAGGGATGGCCACCACTTTGGATGCCTTAAATGCATTAGAAAAAATCCTGGATGATAAGGCTATCAATGGCTACTGCTGATGATAGCTACATTACCTGCAGTATCCAGAAAATTCTATGGTAATTACCAATATGTTGAACATGAGGTGAATCACACAAGAATGTTAACACCATTGTTGGAGTTCCATCTGGATCGCACCAGCACAAGTATACACATGTAGAGTTGTTCTTACAGACTTATTTTAGAAGTATTTGGACTGTTTGGGTTTGAGTTATTTAGTTGCGTATGTCATTATTATTTTGGCATTGGAGATATTTAAAATTCCATGTATTAGAATGTGCTGAAATGACATTTATTACTGTTAATGAACTTTTATAAACCACATACAGAGTTGTTCAGCTTGTGTTTTATCTCACTGTATTCCTCAGTCATCTAGGTTTGGGGCAAGTACTCATTGGTTAGAGAACCCCAACAGAGTTTTAAAATCACAAGATATGCAGCAAAGTAAAATGTGGTGATATAGCCTGTTAGACTTTTTAAATGTCCCCTTTTGAGTTGCTCCCAAAGTTTCCATCTTCCCTCAGCATAGAAAGAGTCCACACATTTGTTAAGTTACACATGGTTTGCTTACAAACACTTCAAAGGTCAGGTTCATGTGCTTGTCCATACAGCAGTCTGAAAACATGGGCATTAAAACTTAGGTTTCAAAGTGGTGAGTGTTTTTTAATCATTTGTATATAAATCATTTGTATATATATTGTTTAAGCCATGTGGTCTGAGTTTGGTACAACCAACTCAGACCTCTTTACTAGTAGGGTTCACATGGTGGAATGAAAGTAGAACAAGGGGCTTGATAACCTTTCCTACAAAGGTGATGGTGAGTGACTCTAGTTAAACCTGGCAGGACAGCTTACTTTATGGTTTTAACCCCTTCATGCATCAATTAGACTTAAGCATGTTGGTTACATGAGACTGGTTATCCCACACCTTCTTCATAGGAAGGCAGGAACCTACCTTATTGAATCAGACCATTAGTCCATCTCCACAGTATTGTCTATACCAGCTGGCTATGGCTACCCGGGGTTTCAGACAGGGGTGTCCTGCAGCCTTGAAACTCAAAACAAGGGCAGTTTTATGAGTCCAGAAGACTCAGAGTTCCTGGTCTTGATTTCTGACTTCAACTTACACGCATACACAGAGCTTCAGGAACACATCTCCAGTCCTGAGATAGTTCAATGACATCTATTCTAATTTCTTGTGGTTTCTATAGCTAAGTGTTATAGTTCACTACTTTCTTCTCCACTTGGAAAGGGCCCTTTATTTCTTCAGATTGAGGAGTACAAATGTATCAGGAAATTAGAATTAAAATGGACTCATGGAGGTATTCCATTGCATTGATTAGACCATTGTGACTGAAACCTCGTTTTCTCCCTCCCCAGTGTAATAAAAAATATGTTTTTTTAAATTGTCTGTCTTGTGAATTTCTGGATTGAGAACTGTTTAGGTACATTTTTCAGGCAAGGACCATTTGATTCACACAAAGATCTACCTCTCAGAAATCTTGTTAATCTTGTTATTCACTTGGAATCCTATCCTTCCTTCCACCCAGAGTGGAACAGTTTGAAATGATTCAATTGGTGGAGTTGGTGAAATCATGTATTCAAGAAAGGGGTAGAAAATCGCATCCTTCTCTCTTCCCATCTTCTTTGATCCTTTGCCATTTACCAAGGGAAACAAGCCAGAACTTAAACCAGCACCATGCACCCTTGAGGGACATCATGTAACATTTGCCACAGTGACAAAGCATTACCTTTTCCACTAGCTCCCTAGGAGCAGATAAGGCACCAGCCTCAGCAGTCTCCTTTCAAAAAGAATGAGCAATTAATCCTACACATTCCATGGACTGTTAATTTGCTCTTCATCCTGCTTCTCAAACAGCTATATCATCCGCACAGCTATTCACAGCCCCACACCACTCACAGGCAGAAGAAGAAACTGGATCAAATAGGTTCACGCTGATTCTGAGCTAGTCAGGGGTCTCCTCCAGCATCAAGAAAACATCAAGACACTTCTGCTCGGATTTGCAGGTGTGTAAAAACCCAGCTGAGGATGCATTAGATTTCTCCAAAAGGCAAGTGCAAAATTCTGCAAAGTATTACTTTGTAGACTCCTCCAAGGAGCTCTCCTGCAGTTTCATCTGCTAATCTCCCCTCTCTATCTCCAGCACTCCACATGCCTTTTGGTGGGTAGATTGGTGATAGGGGTAATATGGCTACTGGTCAGCATTATTAGGATGTAATTGTCCACCCAGAACACTGAAGACTATATACAATGCCTCCAGAAACAGGTGGCATGCTTCTAAATGCTGGGAAAAGGCAGCAGGAGAGGGCTATTACATGCATGTATTTTTTGTGGGTTTCCCATAGGTGTCTGGTTCACCACTGTCAGAACACAGAACATTCCACTAGATGGCTACAGCCTGATCTGGAATGGTTCAGTCTCAGCATGCTTTTGGAATAATGAGGGTAGGGAAGTGATATTCCTTGCTAAGCAAAATATAATAATTTGATGAATTAGAACTGCTATTCCAGATCACACCGTGATCATCTCGCTGAATTCTTCCAGAATTCCTACAGCTGGTACTCTAAACATGATGCAATGGGTGGAAGTCACTGAGATATCTATTTATATACTACTTGATCATAAAAAAGATCTCAATGTGGTTTACAAAGTCTGTGTGTTTGTGTGGATTTGTGCAATTCATTATTACTGAACATTACAATATGCTGAAGCAATAAATCTCACAAGCTACCCATGAGCTCTCTAGCAGGTTCTTTTTACTTTGCATAATGGAATATCATGGCTGCAACATCTGTGGTCCTGTCTAATAGTGATCTTGGCACCAAAAGGGATGTAGCGAAAACAGGACCACTGAGAAACGAAAGGGAAGGGTCAGCATCCTCAGTGGAACCCCAAGGTCATCAAAAGTGAAAACAAAATTCTTTCAGGAAATAATAATAATAATAATAATAATAATAATAATAATAATCCTGCCCATCCAGCTGTGACACCCCAGCGACTCTGTGAACCTTACAGCATATATAAAAAAACAGTAAACACCAATGAAACTGAATGATCATTCAGGATGGATGAAGGAAAGTAATTCAGGAAGTAGCAATGGTCAGCAATGTGGATAGCTTTAAAAAAGGATTAGACAGATTTATGAAGGACAATGCCATCAATGGCTAATGGTCATGAGGGCCAAACTCTACCTCCATGGTGGGAGGCAGTATGCTTCTGAATACCAGTTGCTGGAATCCACAGCAGAGAAGCGTGCTCTTCTGCTCATGTCCAGTGGTCACAGAAAGCTAACTGCCTCTTGCTATTTTCAAGGTGGGGGTGGAAAGATGGTGAGCTAGAAGAGTGAGACTACAATGGAGTTTACAGGAAGAAGAGATGGCTAAGTGGGACAGTGAAGCACTCCTCATTGTAACATTCCCTTCTCTTCCCTTCTCTTCCATTAACATTTACAGAAATGGTTAGACCTATCTGAGAGTCACTAAGAATAGAATGGGTAAGGAAGAGGAACATCAGTCCACCAGCCCACATTTCCTGAAAAAGAGGTGGGGGTGGAAAACTTATTCAAATGGTGGGTGGGGTGAAACCAAGGACTAGGATGGATTTTAGGCAGACATGAAAAGAGGAGAGGCATTCCACTTTAAGATAAGCCTTTAAACAACACAGCATTCATAGATACAATTAAGTAATGAAGATAGACAAAGGGATACATTCAGACTACTCCTTGTGTCTATAAAAGGAGTCCGGAGATGCAGTCTCTGGTGGTGGAGCTACTGCTAAATAAAAGAGGTGTGAGAGGACACAAAGCTGATTGTGCTTTCTTCATACTAATCAATGGATGATAACTTCTCCTTAGAATCTCCTGCAATCTCCTTTTGCAGCAGCTCTGAAGACGCTTATTACATTGCATTTTGCAAAGTGGTCTACTTCTTAGGAGGACTGATAGTTGGTGACTTCAGCTGCATGTGTCTATATAAAACGTGGGGAAATGGGCAGTATATTTTAGAGGAGCTGATAAGATGGGGAAGGGTCATAGCTCAGAGGCAAAGCATCTGCTTTGTATTCAGAACATCACAGATCCAGTGCCCAACATGTGAATTTTCTTGTGTCTAAAACCCTGAAGAAACACTGCCAGTTACTGCAGACTATAACTGAGCTAAATGGACCAATGATCAATATAAGGCACCTTGCTGTCTTCCTAAAAGGGGTGGGGGTGGGAGGTAGGGGTGTAAATCATAAATACAGGCAACCTACGGCCCTTTGGGTTACAGTTCCCATCAGTCTCAGCCATTGTGGTCTAAGGGCTACAGGTTCCCTATCCCTTGGGCAGTTGTTGCTGAGTAAGATGGAGCAACAGTCTGACTCACTATATTCCTATGATAACATATGATCTGCTATGACTGTAGTCTCAGGACACAGTCAAGAATAACGGAAACTGACAAAAGGATGCGCCTCATCACTGATTTAAGACTCTGATGGAAGTATCTTATTACCATCTCCTTTCTCACTTCCCGATTTTCACAGTGATATGCAAGAAGTGGATGATGGAGGCAAACCAGACAATGGTGACCAAATTTATCCTGCTGGGCCTCTCTGAAACCTGGGAAGTCCAACTTTTCCTATTTCTCTTCTTCCTCGTCCTCTACGTGGCTAGTGTCTTCACCAACATT